TAACCCTGAGCACCAAGTGTCTCATACAAATTATCGGCAGTACATGCAACCACTACTGTTAGTTTTTTATGCGATTTGTCCTTCGCAAAACTCAAAAGAAATCATACTTCATAGATGTCTGAGCGTGCAGTTAATAATGGATGAAACCCAAGAGTTCCTTACTGGCGCTTAAAGATATTTTATATAAAGTTGGCGTCAATTTATATGAAAAATCACTTAGCGCCAGTACACCGACGCGATAAACACCTACGTTATAGCAGAGTTTTTAAGTGGGGACTTATCTTTCCGCATCTCTAAGCACTGTGGTATTGAAAATAAGATCATACATTAGTCGTGCAGAACAAAGCTCGAAAATTCTGAATCAGTAAAATCTGCGAAGGATCCGGTTCCCAAGCTGACCTCTTGTCTTGTGATTTTTGCAAATTTGTTATGAAAATTATCATGCGGAACTATGTATATCTTTATGATATAGCTCATAGCTAATAATAGATATAATTTGATAGCTAATAAAGTTAGAGTAAAGAAGATTCTTGTAAGACTGTACGACTTACTTGGTCCAATTTATACAAGAAATGTACCAAATAGCGTCTTTCACAAAAACGGAACTTACTCAGTAGTGTATAGATGCTGAGAGATTACTATGTATTGGAGAGAGAAATGTACCAAATGTATTGGAGAGCCCTGCAATGAGACTTGGCTGAAACCCATAATGACTATTGTCGCGACTGTGATTCTGCAGGGATAAAGGAAACTGTATTTCACCGTACGTATCAGTTGTCATCAATGGCCCATAGAAGATGTAAAAAATTTGTTGCACGTTTTTCCAGCTACCTCACAAAACTAACTTACCTCAATTTTTGGTGATACACTTTAATTTGTAGACTTGTCATAACTTTGGTGGTTATATCTGTTTTAGTAGTCCTCTTGATCTGACATGCAGCAACGGTTTGATAGGTGGTATTACGAAGGGGTTTTGTTTGTGCAGAAGTAAGAGTTGGTGTATTAGGCCAATATTAATGCAACATATTAAAAATATTGAGTTTTCAGGAGACTTCTGCGCATGTCGATCAATTAATGACAGCCTTTCTTGTTAATTCTTGATTCTTACTGCTACGCCATGACAAACCGTCCACATTTATGCCATTTTATTTGAAAACAGCCTGTACTTAGGATATTACTGCACCATTCTCGGACACAAATATTATTTTTTTAAGTTTTTATTAATATGTAAATATTGGTGTAAGTTCTCTTCTCTTCTCAACGATTTCTTCGTTTTTTTGGTTCACCTTCTACTATTTTATTCGAAAACACCCTGTATACATTCGTATTTAATAAACAATCACACATTATTTAAACGTAAATATCCTTTTCCAAGGTTTTGTTAATATGTCAATGTTGGTGTAAGTTCCAAACATATGATATACTCGTATATTTTGAATTGTCATGACGTTTAATTGGCAATAAATTTCGAAATAAGTACGTTGCTGAGATAACGTTGCCGCAGATGCTGAAAATCGTAATAGTGAAACTCATAGAATCCATTTCAGACAAAACTTTATCATTTCTGTTGTGTGGCTAAATGCGGTTCTCACCAACCTGTCCGTATTCGTTCTCCTGCATATTTATGTCATGATTGACTTAAGGTAGCTACGGATGAAGTTTGCCAACACAAATATAAATTTATTAAAATATACTTTTGACTAACGAAGCCAAAAATTCTCATACGTTGACTACAATCGTACTTATACTTATGTAAATATTGTACACATATACATATATTCGTACATATGCTGCCAAAGCTATGCGAGTATTAGGCGAGTATTAGCCGGGTATTAGGCGGGCATTAGGCGGGTATCAGGCGGGTGTTTTACAAGCAGTTTTTGTGGTTAATAAAATTTTAATGTACAAAAAATTGTAAAAAGTTTGCTACAACAACTGAAATTTATTAAAAAAGTTTCGTCTCAAATTTAAATAAAAATTTATCTATTCAAATTGCGGATGTGTTAAATTAATACATAAAAGTTAAAACTAATTCATGCACAAACACACTTATCCTCCCCAGGACCCTCAGACGTATTTTAACATATGTACCAGGATATATTTTTCCAAGATAAATTGTGTTTTGTAACAACTGTGGTCTTTGATGGATACTCGTATTTGTCATTTTGTCTGAAATGTGTTTTTGTGTTTTTGTGATTTTGTGTTTTAATTCAAGTTCGGAGGAATATTTCACATTTCATATTCCAAACAATGATAAACAGCTGCCAAATACGAGTAATAATGTTTCTCCTCGCTTTGTTTAATTGTTATTTTCTATGAAATTATTATTTATATTTTTAATTTTGTTGAAACATTTGTTGCGGGTGTTGTTGCCTCATATCCTGTCGTGTAGTTAATGTAAACACACTCGAGAACATGATTTCCACAATGCAAACATAATTGTCATAATTAATGACTGTTTTATTGTCATTGTCACAGAACAGCATAAATGATAAAGTAGTAGCATATCAAGTGACATGGAGAAAACAGATTAGTTGTAAGACATTAGAAATTATATATTTTAAATTTAAATTTAGTTATAATTAGTTATTTGGCTTCAAATTTCACTTTGAATATTGCAACAAATCAAACATTACATTCATCAGTTAATAACACTAGCAATAATCATGATGGTTTTATTTTAATTCACTTTCACTAACGACTAACATTGTGGTCACTGTTAAACAATAATCAACACGAAGTCCGCCTTTCTCATGTTAGAAAACTATAGGTAAGCGTGGCTCTAGTTAGAGAGCATTTAAAGCCACCGTATGAAACTTTAAACTATTTAAACCTATTTATGAATGAACATAACTGCTGCTAATATCATTCCTATATAATTTTTTTTTTACGTGGTGCCTACGCAGTGCCCACAATCCGGCGCCCCAGAGAGTTCCTATGTACATATAAACACATGGAAGTAACAAGACTGAGCACTAAAAAATATAAGTACAACAAAGTCAGAATTAGTTATTTACAGTTCCTCTAGCCACGTTTGTAGAGAGAAATAGTAACTCAACGAAATATAGAGAAAGGCATTAAGAACACAGTGACGTTGCTGTATTTGCTTCATAGATATTAAATACGAGATTCAGGATAATACCACATATATATTTGTACATAAATTTTTCATATTACACAATGTTATATTTACATTTATAAATTTAGATTAAATTAGGAGGACAGCATTAAATACTTAGGAATCACATTTGATAAGCGGTTCACTTGGCACAAGCACATACAAGTCAAAAGAAGTAGTTGCGCAAAAACACTGCACTGCTTACAACCACTTTTCAAACACAACAGCCCTAGCGTGAATAATAGAAAGTTGATCTACAGCTATATAATTAGACCGGCACTACTTTATGAGTGTGTCGCATATAGCAAAGCTGCCGACTCTACTATCTAAAAGCTACAAGTTGCTCAAAGTTAGGCTCTCCGAAGGCTCTTCAAAGTACCATGGTACATCCGCACGACCTTAGAATAAGAGACCTTAGAATAGATTCGGTCAAAAAATATATAAGGGATACAGAGCTCTAAAGTTATATGCGAAAACTGACAGGCTGCCCTACTTAGCACGATCTAATCTCAGAGTAATCACTAACCGCATGGGGTGGTACGCAGATCTTAGATCAATCACGAAGATTATCGGGAATACTCAAGTTAGTCAGTGAGTTGGGCGGAACTCTGCAGAATCGCCCCAGCTATCATAGAGTAAAGGTGCCCAGATGCACCAACTCAGAAAAGGCTAAACATAACATAACATTTATAACAGCATTTGATAAATAAATAGTGACAATATAAACCTATATAACGTATTTAGAGCACTCAAATTAATTAGGGAATTAAAATGTTTCCAAACATTTTTAAGTTAATATGACAGCTATGTGTAAGCAACAAACTACACTCAAGTTCCACTATCGTTCAAGCCATATATACATACATATATATGATTTTCCATATCGCACTACACTTCATTCATATTCATTTTATATGCATGCATTTTATATATATACAAGCATCTTACCCCACTCACGTTGTTCTACTTTAGAACTAACTGACCTTAGTTCTTATTTCTTTTCCAGATTGTCATTATCGCGGGTCGTTATGATTTTGCTGCGCTCTAGAATTAAATCGTCTAGAAAAATGCGTGTAAGACGTAACATTGCCTGAACTTCGGTTTTGATGACAGATGTTGATCAACATGCAGTTACTACTTTGTTGGCTGTGATGTTAAAAAAGTGAATATATATATTAAAATAATTAATACAATAAATAAATAGCAATATTTAATTTTTTGTTTATAGAAATGGTAAAAGTTAAGAGGCCACAGCATATAGAACTCTACTACACTGGCCTGTTTAAGGAAACTGGATCAGATAATGCCGATTAGTTTTTTATCTGATATCTGATGTGCGTCAACTGTACAACGTGACATGGATCGCCTTGCGCAAGTGATTACCAAAATAGATAGAGAAGTTTTGGTATTGAAGGAGAAACGCAAGAAAGTACACAACCCATAAACCAACTATTTTTTTTTAACTATATACAAATTCTATGAAAGGTGATAGGTGTCAATATACTTACTGCTTCACACTAAGTTGGTATGTTTATAAATTAAACATAAAGATTAAGTGATAAACTGAGTTTGCATTGTTGGCTTTTTTTAGGATGACTCTACATCCCATTAGGGTCTGTTGACAGAATGTCGTCCTTGCCTACAGAAATGAAACTTCTGGTCAAACTCTTACCGATTTTTGATAACATTCTCTCTGGACCAAGTAGAGGATACTGTAATTGACAGTCTAGAATGACTGGTTAATTGCACTTAATTATTTTTAAAAAATCCCAAAAAATACATTTTTATATATTCATATGTATTTTTATAATCTTTGTATAAATATGTAGTAGATTATACATTGAATATTTTAATTTTACTAAAATTTGATTTACATGAAATATATTTTTTTAACTTAAGATGCAATAATTTGTTTGCTTGATAATTTGCTTAATCATATTCAAAATCACTTTCGGAAGGCGAAAAATACGAAGTATGCCAGTTGTCCATGGTTTCGATTTGAGCCTGAAGGTGCTGCAATTCTTTTGCATCATAAGTACGGGCAATGGTTTCAGCAGAGCTAGGACACTCTAAGCTAGTTTGGCAATCAGCACGTCGTCGACGTAGAATGCCAGGGTCACGGCGTTTGGTTGTAGGTGTTACATCAGGTTTTTGTGGCTTTTTCTTTTCCCCTTGCTTGTTCTGGCGAATTTTCCTAGTTAGTTCCTTGTTGAAATTTGAGACCAAGCGTTGCCTAAAACTAACCAATGAAAAGGCATTGAGACTATTTGATAAACAATGCTTTAGGTCATCAAGAGGATTTTTTTTTTTAACAGTGACCTTTTTATTTTCCTTTGGTTGTGAGCATTTGTATTTTTGTGCTGCCTTATTACGTGGCTTGCGATGACGAGGCGCTGGACTAGGCTTTGGTGGTCTTCCTCTTTTGTTTTTAGACTTTTGCTTAAAAATGAATTGAATTGGGTTTTAATATATAATATAATATTTAAGTTTGTGAAGCTATATGTGCTTCACATTTTTAGTTGACTTACATCATTTGAATATTGTTGTTGTTTATCCATGTCGGTAGAAATTTCTTCTTCACTTAGTGAAATTTCTTCAGGTGGTAGACCATCACTATCACTATCACAATCACAAAAGTCAAATTCATTGCTAAACGGCACTTCGTCGGGTTTTTTAATTGCACGTTTTAAGGTCTTCTATTTAAAATGACATTATGAAAATATACAATAAAAACAATATAAGATTTTTTGTCAAAATAGTTGTAAATCTACCATTTTTTTATAAATCGGGCATATACTTGATGCTACATGATCATCGTTGACATAATTTTTAAACTGCTTCGCTGGAGAACATTCGGGAATGTCGGATTCGTCAGTTAAGCGACGTTTACGTTTAGCCTTCTCCACTTGAGCATGTTTTTGAAACCTGCCATTTTTGCGACCCTTTTTTTCGACATCCTAAACATTTGATTTGATTTGATTTTAATTAAATTTTAAACTGCAATTATTGTAGGTTTACCTTATCAGAAGAATAAGCTTGAATTCTACGTTGTTTATTCTTTGCGTACTCGGCAGGCGTAGTTTTGTCATCATTCGATAACTTCATTTTTTTGATCACAGGTTGACTACAGGAGCAGAACTCAATATCGTCCAACTGATGCTTACGTTTACGTTTACGTCTTTGCTTTTGCGGAAGAGCTAATTTGTTCTGTAGTTTATTTTTCTATCAAAAAATTGAAATTAGCTCAAATAGTTAAAGAAATGTTTATAATAAGCTTACCTTATCAGGAGGTGATAGTTGTTTTCTTCCTTGCCTTTTCTTGACATTTTGGACAGTTGGTGTTGGATCAGAAAAATTGTTTTCGTTGGACAACTTTAGTTTCTTAGCTGCAGCACAGTAGGCTAATTCGGGTTCAGTGCTCTGACGACGTTTACGTTTCACTTCTATTTGAGAACGATGCTGTTCTTTTCTATTGAGACGTACGTTCTTTAAAGGCACCTGAAATTTTTTATTTATTTTAGTTGTTTTAATTAATGAGAATTATTATATATTTACCTTATTGAATATCATTGATTTTTTGTGCTTTAACGTGATTGAGCTATTTATCTCATCTTCTTCACTACTAAACAATTCTGCAATAGAATTTATAGGTAATTGACGTTTCGCAGCTGTCAGTTGCTGTGTTGAACGATGGTAATCATATGTATTCTTAAAAAATTCAATATAATTATTTTGAAATTCTTAATGTTTTTTTCTAAAATATATAAAGTTTTACTTACATTTAGCAGTTTTCTTTTCTTATCGGGAACAGTTTTATAATAAGTAGGATCAATATATTTACGTTTCCTGTTAAATCGGTTACCTACAGTGTCTGTAGTTTGAGCAGATGATTTTCTTGAAGCTTTATCTAACTGGGACCGACTACAGGAAGATCCACATCTCATTGGTATATTAAACTCTGAGGTCCCAATTGTTTCTCCAAAAATCTGCTTAACCAGTTTTTCCTTCAATAAGATTATATTAAATTTTTATTAAAAATGAACATTTTAATAAAAAAATATAATAGAATAATTTATCAATTGAAATTTATCTACATATATAAAGTAAATACGAATAGGTTAATTGAAGTTGATTTTAAATTTAATGTTAAAAAATTCAAATTTGTTTAAAAGTAAGAAAATAATAATTAACTTCGAATAATAAAACTATATATTTTTAATATTAAATTGTTTTTTTAATATGAAATTCTGAATTATCAGTGCAATTTCCAGTAATAATTCTTTAATAGATTATATTAAATCTTTTATTAAACTAAACATCATTATAAAAACAAATGAAGGATTCTTATATATACAAATTATTTATTTATATTTAATTAAAATATATTTAATATTTAATTAAATATATATTTTTTAAAACATACTTTTAATTGATTCTACTTATTAGATTTTAAATTTAAATTATTCATTTAGTTTTGATTATTTTATGATATAATATTGGTATATAGTTAATTGTCAATTGTTAACAATTTAATAATGAATACAAATAAATATGAATAAAAATATTTAATAAAATGGGTTTACCTCTACATGGCACAAGTCCTCCGTCGTCCGATGTGGATTCCCCCAAAACGTGATATAAAAATTATGAAGTTCTAAATACTTGTCTCTCTCTCTTTGAGTTGCTTGTGTTTCATTTGCATTTGTAGGAGGGGAATTCCCTGTAGTATTTGGTGCCTGCGAAATCTTTTTTTCTCGTTGTACAGTTGGTTTAGGATCACTCTTCAATTTCTTGAGTTCCTCTTCACTTTTTCCCTTACTTTTCGCACTGCAATGAATGTCTTGACCGGCACTTGGTTCGTTTTTAATAAAGTCCAGATATTGAAGAGCATCATTTATAGCTATTAAATCACCTTCCTGTAAGGAATCATTTTCATGAGAAGTATCACTTTTACGAAAGATTCTCTTCTGATATGTTTTTAGTTTTCTTTTTGATTTTTTCTTGAGCTCCAGCTCCTTATCAGGCTTGGATGAATTTAGTTGTTCAGGTAAAAACATACAAGAGGAATCATTGTTCGTGATTTTAGCATCATCAGTATCGTCAGAATCAAGTGAATTTTCCTCAGCGCTACTTAAATTATTATTAAGTAACTGTTTCTCTAACATAAGTTCTTGATTCATATGTTTCTTCTTTAACTCCTTTTTTAATTTTAACTCAAATTCTTCAAGAGACTCAGGCTGAGGTATAACATTTCTATATACAGTTTGATTCGGACCATACACTTGCCTGAAAGCATTCCTACATTGTTCACATGGAAATTTTTGTTCATTACCTTTCAATTCATCTAAACAAGAATTATTTTCTGAAACATCGTTCAAGTTTTTCAAGTACTTGGCCTTGGCATTAAAATAATTCCTTTTATAGTATGGCAACAACTTCATTTGTAATTTGAATTCGAGGTCTTCATCAGAGTCTGAGTCTGCATCACACAAATTGTTTTGAATAGCATCTATGTTTGAGTTTTCACTCATATCATCAGAGCATAATTCAATATTTAAATTATCATGATGTGGTTTCTTATGAATAAATTTCGGATTATGTTCACCGTGATCTTCGCGTAATGGCTTTAATTTCTGTTTGATTCTTCCTCTACGTTTCGTAAAGGGTTTAGTTCCGTTTTCTAAATCTTCACTTAAAACAGTACTTTCATTAAAGGTAGAATTCGCATTATCAGTAACTTTTAAGTTATGCTCAAAACCGAGTGCGCTATCTGGTAAACGTTTTCGTGATCCATAATATTCCTGATTCTTAGCAATATTAGCATGATGTTTACTTTTTGGTACATCTAAACGTTCATGTTCATGTTTCTTCGTTTGGTACAACGCTTCACGGTCAACGGATGTACGGTCAACATTGTATGAATCAGATGGTACTGTGCAATCATTCATTAACTTGGCGGGTGCCGTTTTATACTTACAGTTGACATCCTTGGTATTGTTAAAGTATTCCTCGCCATAAATGAAATCAGCCGATTTCAAAAACTTGCCGATTTGTTTCAGTATTTCCGCTGACTTCTCAAGACTATCTGTTGAACTAATTGATGTCTCAATCTGATTTTCTTCTGACTCGTAATTATCTGATTCAGAGCTATTCGTTTGGCCAGACATTGTCAATTCATTATCGCTCATGTTTTTACTAATAATAAATGCCTTACATTATATGACATCGTTAAAATTGATAAATAGTTATAATTTATAGAAATGAAAAAATGTTTAAACAATAAAGTGTGTGGTCATTTTTATAAAAGGAAAAGAAAAAAATCTTATTTCTCAAAGTGTAACCCATCAGAAACAAACTATCCGGCAACATACAATATTTAATTTAAAAGATATTTTTTTTTAAAAAGCAAATTATTTTTCCGACTTCTTGAAAATTGCTATGATGGAACAAAGTCTCTCAACGCAGCTTTATTTTTCCAAATACTTTTTTTAATTGATTTTATTTTAATAATTTTGGCAATTCCATTTTCATTCTAAATGTGAACATTTCATGTGGTACTAGTCGTTAAGGATAGTACCTTTTTGTTTTAGAAGTTTATGGTTGACAATACCTTTCTAAACCACTAAATGCGA